TTACCTGGGACATTGTGTACTTCAGACCCAAACAGAAAACTTCTGCCAGGAATGGCACAAGCACAGTGGTTCTGCTGTAGGACAAACTACAAAACTATGTTTGAGGCCCCGTTCTGCTGTGCTACAGTACAACACATTTGAAGTTTGACTGAACGTGTGGAGTCTGCTATGTGGAAAATGGGTGAAAAAAAGAGCTGGTGCTTCCACTGTCTCTATTTGTTATGCCTTCCTCTCCATACCTTCATCTTTGCAAGTGACCTTCAAACATGTAGCTTTGTCATTTACCCTATCACAGCAGCTAGAGACTGTCCAGGGACATTTAGCCCTTGATTTTCAGCACTTGACCTACTCTCCACAGAACAAAATGGGTAACTGTCTCTTTTCCAAGATGTTTGTAGGCTCCCATTAAAAAATACCTGTGCTTAATCACAGAGATTTAAGATCACTTGTAAGTGCTGAGCAGACAAAGCACAACAGAACCTTACTAACAACTTTTTGTTGTATTCTGGTTGCAACAGATGTATATTCTTCTAAGTACTGTCCTAGACACCTTGAAAAAGTGCTAGTAGTAGTAGCAATAATGGTAATGATTATGAAGATTTTTTTGTTGACATCAGCAAATTCATGCTAGAGTTTCTGAGGCATGAACAGGCACTTGAAACCCTTCCTATCCTTTCTCGTTCAGCTCTGTTATTTACACCTGTGTTCACTGTCAGAAATAAAAAGAGTATGCTGAGAATAGAAACAGATATGGAAACCAATGTGCAACCGCAGGAAGGCCAGTGCAGTCTGTAGTTTCAACAGCTGTTAGCAGGCTAACGTAAGTTTGAAGCATCACTCCCTGTCTCACCAAGGTCTACATTTGACTAAGCTAATGGTTGTGGGACTCTCACAGTGGGAATCTTCAGTGTGACTTGTATTTGTTATATGTTAGCTAATTGGAGGTAAAAGGAGAAAATTTTTTTATGAAGGTGGGTTCCACAGGGTTATCTGCGCTCCATTCAAACATGGATTGTACGGCCCATCTACTTTGCTATTCTTCTATTAAAAATCTGTAAAGTGAAACTAAAGTGCTAGGAAGCAGAGAAGAGCACAAAGAGGTGGAACAGGAAAGTTCTTCAGCTGGAATGAATGACAAGCACATGTATTGCCTCAGGTTCAGACAAGATAAGTTGTTTAACCTCTCAAAGCTTATCTTTTTTGGGAAGAACGTACACATGGTGAAAACTGTGGGCAGAATGTAAGTAAGCCTAAAACCAGCTACCTTTGAGCTGTGTGCATGCTTCTACACTGCATAATAAAAATGAGAGATGTTAGTTTTGAAACCGCCTTTGAGATTTAAGACTCTATGGTAGAAAAAAAGAGATGGTACTTTAATGTCTAAATATACAAAGGTTAATGTTTGGGCTTTGAGCTTTTAGAAATAAATATGTATAGTACCAGTAACGATCAAGAGGAGGAACTCAGCACTCTGAAGGGTTAAATTGAACTTTAGTCTTCCACCAATCACTCTCTGGTACTGTGTCTTCATAAATTTCCCCCATTTATGGAGTGTTTTTGATGGCAGGCAATTCTTTGTTGAAAGTTAAGTGCTCTTTTATATGAATAAATAAAGAAGGCTTTGGTTTGAATGAATACATTATTTTGACAAATGTTTATTGGAAACCCAATTATGGCTTCATAAATCAGTGCTATCTGTGGTACATCAGGTGAGCTCACCCATGCCATCAAATGGCATGTTGAATATTAGTAGGATAATTAAAACAATTCTGTTGAATGTTGTCCCTCTTACCAGGTCTGACAGTAGTCAAAACAGGAAGAAATTGTTTATTATTTTTATTTAACTTATTAAAATAGTTCTTGTAAGATGTAATGGACATACTTAACAAAAAGAAAAAAAAACAACATTTGTTTTCAATTTGCAGTTAGATTAAAATGACAAGGTCAGGCACAATGCATAAACTGAGTGGCAGCTGAATTTTAAGAGCAGTTGGGGAACAGAAAGGCTGTGTATGGAGTCTACTGTTTGAACTTTACACCTAGGTGAAGCAGGGCCTTGTTTGTTTTGTCTAAAGTGGTCATTGATAATATGAAATGTGTCTAAGTCAATTCATGTGCTCCCTGGTCCTCCTTGCTACAGTGATTCTGAGTTAGAATGACCAAATGAATGAGGAGACATTTTCATAACTATGAAAATTAAGGGAATCAAGTGAAAATCTTGAACTCGAGGTCAAGAAGAAAGGGAGGAGGTTGAAGTTGAAAATAAATAAATAAAGGTCTACAGGGGACCTAGCTAACAGAAATTCCCCTCTCTTGAGGCCCTCTGACCGATGACAGCAAAATGAAGATATCTACAGTATCTGCGGCAGGACAGCAAAGACTTGTTTAAGCTTTATGAAAAGAATCTGCATGATTTCCCAAAGGATCATTTTCCAATTTTAGGATATGGCTAAATTGATATCCACTAGGACTTACAAGCATGAAATAGGGATTGAAACTTAAGTAATTGGGTTTGGTGTGTATTTGAATTAGTGTGATATAAATAGCCACCTACATGCCTTTCTTACCAATCCAACTTCAGTATAACATTTTCTCAGTGGCACAGAAGAGGGAACGGGTAAACATAAGGGGAACAACAGAAGGTAACCCAACATTCTGCTTTTCTTCCGTGAAACAAAATGCATGCTAGTGGGCCAGAGAGATGGCAATGAAATACTTTTATTTGGAATGGTATCAGTTCACTGAAAGGAAAAAAAAAAAAAAATCACTAAGACGTTTTCTTTTCTCTTCAGAAACTAACCTTCCTCTAGAGCTATTCAGGCTCCCAATTTCTGGCATCTGGCAGCAGGCAGACAGCCTGGAGGCCCCAGGGCTGAAGCTCCCACACTAGGACTTCTCAGAAGCTCATATTTCTCCAGAGATCTGCTTCTCAGATAATGTTTGAAGTTTCAGGTCTTCTTCCAAATAATGGTCATATGAAATTTTGTCATTTTCTGCAAGATAGAGATAATATTCTCCCTTTTCCACCCTACCTTTCCCTAGTCTCTTCTCAGGATTTCAGATGAACAAACAAAAGAAGTGTGGGAAGAAAACAGGGATAGCCTTCACTATTTAGGATCCTGTTTTTTCATAGCAAAGTAAGAGTATATTCAGCTTAAAGCCAGGCATGCATTTTGCTGCCAAGGGCACCATCACTGGTAACGAATACTCTGTAGATAAAGGAGACAAATCCTGGTGCATGAAGCAGGATGGAGCCTTGGGCCTTTTCTCTTACCTAAGCAGCTGTTCCAGGGCAAACAAACCTGGAAATCTCTTTTCCCAGAGTAGAGAGAAGTGGAGGTACTGTTTTATACATTAATCTTAGGAAAACTATCGAGTAAGATGTATGGATTGTGCTTTTTTATGTCTTAACTTCTGGACCCACATTCTAGTTACCCCTAAGTGGAAATGAAGGATTTTAGAACTAACCTCTTCTTACTACGCTGCTTTTTCATGCATATCCTCAGAAAAGCAGACCACTCAGTTAAAGCTATGCACCTAGAAATTAATTTCCTTGAATAGGATTAAGGAGATGTAAGTGGTTGGCCTGGTAAAGAGAACTATGGCAATGGAACAGGAAAGAAACACATTTAGAAACTTCCCTGAGCTCTGCTATGGCTGGAAGAGTAACAAGAAAAAAGCAGTCTGCAAGATGCAGCTCTTCAGCACCCTGATTATCAACTAAAGCATCGGCCCTTCCCCCGAAGTTTCAGGGAAGTTTGCTGTCAATCAATAATGCTAACAGATTTGGTTCCTGGCAAAGTTTATCAGTTTTTCTTATCTCCAGTCTCTTTTCTCAAACCCTGTTTCCTCTCTTTGCCTGTGGCTACTCTGACTGCAAATGTGAATTATTGGAAGGGGAAAGGAGAAGAGCGAGCAAGCCTCAGTTTTCATAATTCAGGTCTAAAACACAGCAGCTCTGAAATACTTCCCGTAGGTTTTATTTCTGAAGAAGCTGTGGCTAGCCACCGTATTTCCTTTGTTGTTGATTTAGCATTTGAACACAGGACTGAAACGTTGTCTAATTTCACTCTGCCTTCTGCCAAAAACATCTCAATGGACAAGCTGGTCATTCCATCATTTCTAAGCCCCTGTGAGAGCAATGCATCAAAAGAAGCTGCATACCTTCCATAGCCTCCTATTTCAGTGGAAACCAGCATTTAAAGTATTACATCTTACAGCTCAAAGGAGAGGAAAGCTTCAAGGAAGATAGTTCTTCCTTTATATGCAAGGCCCCCTGTTGCCACTCATAAATCACTCACGATGCTGTTATAATCCAGAACAACAAGCTGGCATCACCCCTAAATACAGAAGGTTGTGCAAAAGATTAGCAGAACAAAACCAATAAAGAAGTAATTAAAACACCTAGAAGATAAAATGCTTGAAAATATCTCCCCAAATTTCCCTGTGGCAAGACAATGATTGAGACATAAATCAAAGCTATTCTCCTTCAGGGGATATTTAGGAAGATGGCAGTAGGCTCATCTAAAGAACTGCAGCTTTTACGCTAATGGGGAGACGCAGATAACTGATCACTGCCCTCAATTACTTCAAATGCACTCCACTTTCCTTCCAGCAAGAAAAGCAAAGTAAGCCTTGTTTTTAACAGAATCAACATAAATGAACAGAATATGTTTTTAATGCTAGCTTTCATTTGATTAACTTTCAGGTTTTCCTATTTTTTGTTTGCATTGCTAAAAACTAAACCAGTGGATTGTGTTGGATGGATAGATTAAATCGCTGCTTTTCCAAAAGTAACTTTGACCAGCTCGTAGAGAAATATTCACGTCATAAAAGCTTTGAACAGCATCACAGAAAACAATAGTTATTCAGAGCCAATAATTCTGGTCCATTGTGTACTACTCGGTGATGGTACACGAGAAACAATGACAGAGGAACAGACTGTCCAGCAAGTATTTGCTCTGAAGTCCACACAAAAAAAATCTATGCTGTTCATTGCATTATGAAATCTTGAAATCTCCCAGTTTTCTTTCTTTTTGTCCTGCCTCTCCATCAGCTTTGTCTGAACATGCCTGTGGTCTGCAGTAAGCAGTGGGATGAAAACACCTGTAATAAACAACAAGAAAAATAATACCTAACACCACCCTAAGAATAGCTAGGATGCTCACAATTGTACAGTGTATTTTCTTGATAATGGAAGGTTTCCAGAACATATATACAAACAGAATACCTAGAGTTACAACAGTGTGACTAGCATAATAAATAGAAATGCAAACGTTTTTTTCCCTGTTTTATTAAAAAAAGGTAAAAACCAGAATGATTCCAACAACAGTTCTGTACAGATATTCCATCTTCTTAGATTTGCAAACCGTCATATGTTGTTTCAAAATCCATGTGAAGCCACAGATCCAAAGAAATATCAGCAGAATTATAGAACTTCTAACACTTAGTAGAGTGATCAGTGAAATACCGAGTGTCCAAGAAGTGATGGTAAGCAGGTTATAGAAGCGATACACCAACTTGTAGAGCACATGAAATTCATCTTTATCAGGCAGAGATTTTCATAATGGCAACCATTGAAAAGGAGATACCACAAAAAGACATAATAGTGGCAGCATTTAAACAAAACACAAAGAAAAATGTTAGACCAAAGAAAAAGATACTTATTTTACAATATAATTTCTGAATGAATGAGACAAGTTCATGCATTCATAACACTTTCCTTATACAAATTTCATATTTCCTCTGTGCTCCTGAACAAGTCACCTTAATTTTAAGGATCAGCTTAGTTACCTACATCTAGGCACCTAATGCGGTTTGGTAGTGCTATGTTATCCTGCCCAGCCTCTGGCCGTTAATGGGCTCAACTAAGCTGTGTGTCATATTTGCCATTGCCATACACAGATGGCTCAGAAATTCCCAAAGTATTGCAAATAGCTGTCCCGTCCCACTCAGTGGGTTTAGGGGTAGGTGAATCTTTTGTATCCTCTCTTTTAAAAGGGGTTTTCCTCTGCATGGCAGAGACCTCTTGCTCAGCAAAGGTAGAGAGTTAAATAACCCTCTTTGGTCAGTAGATTCACAGCAATAACACACTTTAATAGTAATAATGTTTCACAGACTGGATAAAGGTAAGGTTTCAAAGATCAGATAAAATAATATTTCACAGATTGGATAAAAGCATGGCTTTCCCTAATTCTATCTAATACTATGGAGCGAGAAGGAAAAAAAAAAAAAAAGAGAGACAAAGAAAGAGAGAGAAAGAAAGAGAGACAGAGAGAGATCACCACTCATGGGGTCCAGCAACATCTCACAGGTCCGGTCTGCTCTTTGGTTCTTCGGTGATGGATGCATACCTATGTCTTGATTATTGGTATTTTTATTGTCCCTTTCATTCATATTCATGAGTCTTGTTCACATTATCCCCTCCTCTTCTCTCTTTCCATGCTAATTGGGATGCAGGCACAGTATGCAACCTTTTGGGCGGTCCAAGGGTGTTCTGTCCACTACAGATAAGGGAGTGGACCTCCTCAAGTCCAGTAAACACCTGTAGATAACGGAGTGGGCCTCCTCAAGTCCAGAAACACCCCTCTTCTGCAGGGTTTGTCTGTTTGGATAGGGGAGGTTGGGTAGCCGCTCCAGATGAAGCCCCCCTTTATCAATTGCCCCAACTAAAGTTACTGAAGGAGAACACTGCTCCACCTTCTTATCTCTGAGGAGGGAGCACCGCTCCACCTTCACAGGGCTTGTTCTCTCCCTGGAGCAGGGTGTACTGCAAAGCAGGCTGGTTTTAGGGCTAATACATCAAACTTGCAGTGTAAAACAGTAAATACATAAAATCTTCAAAATAGGTTGTTTAAGGCAAAAACTCAGATTGTCTTTCACAATAGCCCACAAAAACTTAAGTTTCAGCAAATGATATTGACTCTGGGGTGTCTATAATGTAGAACTCTATAACCAAGACTTAACCCTTCACATGGTCATATTTAAGATGAGATTTGTCTGACCGTTTTGTTCGAGTACCTATTGACTCCATGGACTATTAAGGAACACTAGGCAGCACTGCAGGTCTCTCCATTTGGTTAAATAAATTCCAGCCCTAAGTAAGTCAGTGTCTTGCCAATAACCCTGATAGTTTTAGAGCAGGAAATGGTACAGCTGCTGTCTTGCTTCCGAGTTGAACCAGTATCTCTTCATCATATTGCATTCTGCAATGCTGACACATCCTCTGGGTTTTTTCTGACTTTGTCCCTCATCTGTAACACAGATGATGCTAGTGACAGCTCACAGGGCTGCTCTAAACATATTACTGTTTTCAAGAGGCCTAGTTAGCAGTTTTAAAAAAAACTATAAACAAAAGCACACAAAACAAACTGCTCCGCAAATTATACACTGATTGTATTCAATAGTTTATTTTCAAGTGATGTATCATGAGATATTAGGCCTTGTTACCATGAAATCTTCCTTCTCATGGATTTAGCAGAACAGACCATCTACTAGGCAGAAATTCTAATGAAATGCAGAGTAATGATACAGCGGAGTGTAAGTTTTTTACATACAGCCAAGGTATGTTTAAAATGTTATCCAATCACATGAGTTATCTTTTTAGGTAAGATACTGAACTTACAAATTAAGGAGAAAGAGAGACTCACGTTGGCAGAAGTTATTTCTGCCATGGTCCGTGACGATGTAAATCTGGACGAAAATAGAAGAAAGTCTTGAATACCCTGAGCATGTTAATATCAGTCACTACATCAACAGCTTGATTTTGAATGAAGTTGAGACTTTCTGAAGTTTCTGATGCATCTCTGCTGCTTTTGTGTTTAAATGGAGCTTGGCAGGCATACTTCAAAGCAAACCAATACCTATAAAAAAAAGAAGACTTGATTAGACAGTGTTTTTTAGAAGCACAACTCAATAAAATGATACACCCTTACAATGACTTTTCCCATTTCATTCTCCATTCACATTTTACCTTTGAATGTAATCATAATTAACCCAGCACTTTCTACTAAGATAAAGTTTTGTCTGCTATCTGTCTGCTACCAGCGATATCAGATGATCATTTCAGCCCAGCAATACCAATGCAACATAAAAACTACTGGAACAGAATGAGACTTGCCTGAATAAAGATTACAAGCTTTAAAGAAATAAGAACCTAACAAAATAAAAGTAGCATATTTCTGAAAATTCCCTTAGCATCTCCCCTCAGTCTCTCTTTGAGATACTCGTTCACTTTTTTTGTATCCTTTTAAGGGTATTAGTGAATACCCAGCTGTGAACATCCACATCTATATAATATAGATAGATCCCTAAGCCCCAAGGATAATATCTGATGAACTGCAAACATACAACAGACTTTTAAAAGAAAAAATCACTACAGTGTTATTTTCTAAATACTCAGGAAGACTTTCATTTCCAAAAATGATTTTTGAGACATGTGGATTCCTGGGTTGACAGGTGCTATTAATAATCTGAGGGATTTTATATGAGAAGCCATTTATTTTGGCAAATGAGTGCACCTGAATGACTTTCAGAACAATTCTGGTTTATTTTCAATTAAGCCTAAACGAACACTTCCTCTAAAAGAGCAGTAAATATAAATATACATGGAATTACTTAGTGATGACTGGTGTACATTCTATGTAGCAAAGAACCTTTTCTGCTCAGATCTCTCTAATGCTTTGCTTAGAGATAGATAAGACCTAGCTCTTATTCTGATTTTCATGACCTTTGCTTCAAGCCTGGAGGTCGGCATAGCACCTCACAGTGGAGAGAACACTTAAGTTTTAAACAAAAAACATTTTGATAAGGGAGGAACCAGCTATTTCCCATGGTAATCTTTACAGCTGTGTTTAGGAAAAGAGGATGGTGGCTACAACCTGGTGTAGGACCAGAGCTCCAGCTGCTGGAAACTACAGTATTTCCATTGTCCCTGATGAAGTCACACACACATACACAGCCCTGGTGAATGAGCTGACTCATTGCAGTAGTTCTCAGGAAGCCAAGCAAAGCAGTTACTGCTATAACAGACAAAATGGGGCAATTTGTTGCCTCTTGTTCTGACTCCTCCTCCTCTACTGGTTTTGCATGAGAACAACCCTCATCCAAGTCTTCATCCTCCATCACTGGGTGATCTGACTTTTTAGGATGTTTTTTCCCAGTTGGGTCATCCTTCACCTCTGATTCCAACTCTGGCTCATCTGATGGTTTTGCTTGAGAAGGACCCTCTCCCAGATCTGCTTGAGAAGGCCCCTCTTACAGATCGTCCTCATCCTTCACTAAGCAATTTGAATTTTTTGTGTGTTTCTTTCTGGTCATAGAAGCATAGCATCATTCAGGTTGGAAAAGACCTTTGAGATCATCAAGTCCAACCATCAACCCTACTCTACCAAGCACACCCCTAAACCACATCTCCAAGCACCACATCTAAATGACCTTTAAACACATTAAGGGACGGTGACTCAACCACCTCCCTGGGCAGCCTATTCCAATGTCTGACAACCCTTTCAGTGACAGAATTTTTCCTGATGTCTAGCCTAAACCTAACCTGGTGCAGCTTGAGTGTGTTCCCTCTTCTTCTATCATTAATTACCTGCGAGAAGAGACCAGCACTTACATCTCTACTACGTCCTCTCAGGTAGTTTTAGAGAGCTATAAGATCTCCCTTCAGCCTCCTTTGCTTAGGACTGAATAGCCCCAGTTCCTTCAGCCGCTCTTCATAAGACTTATTCTCTAGGGCTTTCACCAGCTTTGTTGCTCTTCTCTGCAACTCGTACTGGTACAGATTGAGTGGGAGAGGCCTGAGTGGCTGTCATTGGAGCTGCTGTGCGCATTGTCAGAGTTGGAGTGGCAGCAGTGCTTTTTGTGGGAGTTGAGCTGGTTGAGTAACACCTGCATCAGTGTTGATACCACACACCCTGAAGCACATTCAGAAGAATCAATAATAATATAATGATATTTTGATAGTAACAATATCTGGAATCCTCCAAATGTAGTGAAATCAAGTTGCCATAAAAGGGAGAAGTATAATTTCTCCAGGCATAAACGGGAAAAGTCATTTCCCAACGTCAAACTGAAAGTGTAATTAGTCACAAAATTCACCAGGAGGAGCCCGAGGCACACAGGTACAGCCGCTCTCCCGTGTCACCCAAGATAAAACAGTCGTAACAAGCCATTCGAAAACTGCGGCTTCCTCCACACGCCCTACGCGAATATACTGCAAATAACCACCTCCAACAACTAAACCTTAACACAACACAGCCAGCAGAAAAGGCAGCAACATAGCACTTGACTCTGGACCCAACTCTACTAACAAAGGATATACCACTGTGCTTAGCAACCCTATCATGATGCAAGCTGCCTGTTTTAATTTCCCACCATTCAAGACTCTCAAAGGGAAAAATCTGATATTCTCTCAAATAAGCTAGCCAGGATTTGAACTATTCAGGTAATTTGTCGGAGCCCTGGTGGAGCCCCGTGTTGGGCACCAATTTATCTCTCATGAGATAAGGCTGGACCAGCCACTAACAAAGGACAGAGGCCCCCAGTGCTAGGAACAAGTAGGAGCATTTGTGAGTCCCTCTCAGTCAGAGCTTAATGACTCCCAGAGTCCATTAGCAGGAGAGGGAACAAGCACCACAAGCCAAGCCGAGGTGATGCAGAGCTGGGGCCACCATCAGCAGGAGATGGAACAAGATGGGCATCCATAGGCTGGAGCTGGTAGAAGCAGGAGCATCTCTTACCTGGCATGTGCAGGAGCTGGAGCTGAAACAGGGTGGGATGTCCATCAGCTGGAGCAGGAACAAGCCAGAGTGGGTATGAGCTGGAGCTGCAACAAGGCAGAGGGTCCATTAGCACATGTGAACGGCTGGTCACTGCACCACAACTCCCTCAGCAGAGCGAACACTGCCTGAGACTCAGGGCTTTTCCTTCGAGGTGATGGGACCCGCAGACGCAACCTAAGGCAGCTCTGGCAAGCTGAGAACATCCCACCCGAACGACCCTTCAGTGACACCAGGCACAAAACCATGGCCATAATCCAGCACAACCCCCCACCTGCACAGGGCAGGCACATAACAATGACACAAGCAACAGTGATCGATGAGCCCAGCCCTTCCCATGGGTGATCGGATCAGTCTGCACAACTGTATTTCACATAAATAAACCTGCTGTCCTCTGTATCGGGGTCCCTTCAGCATGAGGTTGGGACACCACTAGAATAGGAGAATAAATCCCCTTGGTAATTCCACACTGAGCAGCCTTGGTTCCCGCCCCAGCCAGCACAGAACTGACCTTTACACCAGAAAGTGAGGGAGCAAGCAAGCTGGTCCACCAGCTGGAGCATCTCTGACCTGGAGCATCCAGCGTCGGGAGCCAAGGGGATGCCGAGCTGGAGCATCCATCAGCAGGGCTGGGACAAGCTGAAGCTTCAACAAGCCGTAACATCCATCAGCAGGAGAGGGAACAAGATGGGTGTGTCCATTGGCCAGGGCATCTCTGACCTGGAGTGGCCAGTGTCACAGCTGTCCCCAAAATGGCACAGGGTGGAACATCCATCAGCACAGCTGGGACAGCTGGGAGCTGGACAAAAGCCTGTGTTGCTGCAGTTAGCAGGAGATGTAAGAACCTGGAGCTGTAACAACTGGGAGCATCTCTGACCTAGATGACCAAAATGACACATGGCTGGAGCTGAAATGATGTAGAACTGGAGCATCCATCGGCCAGTGCTGCAATCAGCTGGAGCTCCAATGAACCAGAGTCTCCATTAAAAGCTGGAGCTGTAAGAAGCAGGACCATCTCTTACCTGCAGTATCCAGCATCTGGAGCTGAGATGCCACAGGGCTGGAGCCAGCACAAGAACTATTGACCGTGGGGCTGGAGCCAGAGCTGATGCCGGGCTGGAGTGTCCACCAGCGAGGCCAGGAGAGCCGGGAGCTGCAAGAAAGTGTGTGTGTGCTGTGGCTGGAACGAGCGGTCCTTGGACTGCAAGGCCAGCCCCGCAGGGCAGAGGGGCAGGGCCGGGCAGGGGCAGGCAGGGCCCAGCCCTAGCGAGGATCTCGCGCCCGGGGCGCGGCA